TGTCTGTTAAGGGTCGAGTGTATGTTGCTGCAGTTAGGTCAGTTATGCTATAAGGTGCAGAAACTTGGTCATTAAGATTAGAGGATAAAGATAAACTGTCGGTGTTCGAACACCACTGTCTACGTAGCATTGCACGAATCTGGTGGGGTAGCCGGATGAGCAATGCTGAGGTTAGGGGCAGAGTTTTGGGTAAATACGGTCGCCCACTGGAGAAACTGGTCGACCTCCGAAGATTACGTTGACTGGGACATGTGTTACGCATGTCACCAGGTAGGTTACCACGGCGAGCGGAAGAAGAAGCGGATACCGAGTGGAAAAAGCCAAGGTGGTCAAGCTAAGACCTGGTACGAGGGTATGCAAACCCTTACCAGGAAACTGGGTCACATAGATCCTGTTAGGCTCCCTGGCTGGGGACCTCGGGATGATCGTAACAGATGGTTAGAGATACTGAGCGATATGGCTGGGAGTCGTAAACAATGGCGTTCGTGCATCGCCTCAAGTTTTTTGCAACCTTAGACCATTGAACTTCTCCATTTTCTTTTCGACTCCACTTTCAACTTTCCTTTCCTCTCCTATTCTTCATCCAAATGAGCAGCCAAAGGACAGCAACCAAAACCGGCGCACGAATATGCGTGGTTGAAACTGAAAACTTTATGTAGATTCGTTTAATTTGGCTAGTGCCTTGAAGAGGATAAACATATCCTTTTCGAGGATGCATATCTATTTAGGCGTTGCACAACCAAGTCTGTTCTGTGAGGTGATCGTGTATTGGTGCATGGTTGTCGATGGCTCGCAGATCATCGATGGAAAGATATGTATGTGCTGCCCAGGTAGTCATGAATTCCTGTTCATTGGACAGATTTCCTTGATATTTACGGGACTAAACATTGCATCCCGTCCAGTCACTAAATAACAAACGTCTTTATGTACCGAGCACAATCTCGTCAAGGTTTCCAAGCCTCAGCTACCCTCAACCTGACCCAATCAGTCTATCGAGCAGCTTAATGGAATATGATTGTTGTAGAATAAATTCTGCCTCATATTGACACTCAGCACATGCACACACCCAGCACCACTATTCTATTGTCCATTGTCATCCTTTGATTGTGCATTGTTGATTTCATCCTCTCATTGATCGGTATCTATGACTGTTCTCCACGCCGTTTACATATATTCACACACTATTAGTACGTTTGCTCTATTACGTTGTCCTCTGTCGGTCTCATCTGTCTCATCGACCCGTTCCCATGATCGACTGACTCTGACACTTGTGTGTACACACACAAGTGTCAGAGTCAGTCGATCATG